ATAACATTTTTTCCCTCTAGCTCACTTCATTGTAAATATAGCATATAATATACAAAATATGTGGTAATTGACAGTTTATGTTATTGATAAGGCTTCTAGTCAATAGTAGGCTATTACTAGTTAAGTTTCGGGGGAGTCAAAAATTATATGTGGATTGTCAACTCTGTAGGTCTTGGCACCCCAACCCCCACGTTGTACAAGGATTCACTATATTTGTCTATCTTACTTCCTTTTGTGGTTGTAACAAGCATTTCTATTCATTAGGATAGTAAGGAGCTATGGAGATCTAAACTGAACATTTACATTATGCTCATTTTTCAATCTCATCTGCTAATAACAGTCTTCCCTGATGTCAATTAGTTTTGTTAAATATTAATAGGAAGGTGCTGTATTTTAAAATTTTTAACAAACTAAGTCCATGGAAACAATCCTTGTTGGAATATTTTTATAGCTTAGAATATTTCCAACTATGAAGTGTGTAAAATGAGTGTTTCTACAGGTATCAGTTTCTTGGCAATTGTGTAACGGTAAAAACACTCTTAAATACTAGTTTTCAAAATGCTGTCTCCATAAAACTGGTCCTTTTAGGAAAGCAGTCACTTTCTCACTCATTGTGGAAATGCCATCTTTATCTTGAAGGAACAGGTTAATGGGAGTTAAGGAGAGAGCTTTACCATTTCCACTTGTTCACTGTACTTTATTATCTTCAACTTATGGTTATTCACAAGAATCATTTGATAAACCTTAAATCCACTTCACCACAACAGATAGATCACAGGAAAGCAAACTGCCATCAACTTAAATTGGGTTAGTCCCAGTTTTTCCTCAGCTGGTATCTGGTGTGCAGCACCGGGTTTGGGACCAGAGTGCTTGTAGCCATCATTCGTTCTGATTGGTCAGTGCATCGGCCAATTGTTTTTGTTTTTAGTATCACCCTTGCTAAATGACAGGCCTGCTGTGTAGATCAGTATGCTATGTAGACCAAATCAGATCTCTCATATCATGTTATTTTAAATATTAGCAAAAGCTAAGTTCCTTAACTTAAAAAATAAAGATACATAGACATTTTTGTATTTTTTTCCCTTGCCTCCAAGGATGGCCTTGCACATACCTCCACATATCCCACCTTGGAAGCTCCTGGCCTGACAATTACAGAATGGTCCAGAAAGGCAGGTTTTGGTTCAGTGCACAGACCATCTTTCAAAAGGTAGAGCTTTCCAAAATGGCCAGCATCCCTCAGTAAAAGGTTCCCCCAAATTGGAAGCATTCAAGCAGAAGCCAGATGACCAGCTGGACGTTTACTTGCTAGAAATGCAACAGCAGGGGTAAATGGTAAATTACTCCCAAGATCCTTTCTTTGTATTATGGTAAATACTAGAAATGACAAGTAGCACCCTTGTTTCTTTCTTTTTTTTTAATTTTATTTATTTTTTTGAATTTTTTTTTAATGTTTTATTTATTTCTAGGAGAGAGACAGAGAGACAGTGTGAGCAGGGGAGGGTCAGAGAGAGAGGGAGTGACAGACTCCGAAACAGGCTCCAGGCTCCGAGCTGGCAGTCAGCACAGAGCCTGACACGGGGCTTGAACCCACGAACCGCGAGATCATGACCTAAGCGAAAGTCGGACGCTTAACCGACTAAGCCACCCAGGCGCCCCATAGCACCCTTGTTTCTATTTATAAGGAAAATAGCAGAGAGAGAGAACTAGGCTAGTACTCAAAAGACCTATCATCAAACTCAGTGACTTTGGGTAAGTCATTTCCTGTCCCTAGTCACATTTTGCATTTGTAAAACCTGGGGCTGGAATTCAATCGCTTTTGAGGCCCTACCCGGCTCCAAGATTCTGGAGTTCTAGGAGTCTTCTTCACCAAATATTACATGTTGGTTCTTTAGAAAGAACTGCTTGGAAAGAAAAAAAATTACATAGTTTTAATTAGAAATAGAAGTTAATTTTTTCAACTGCCTTTTTGGTGTGTATTACAGTGATATATGATTTAATGTTTCTTATGAATGTAATGTGTTTAGCAGCTATTATATCAACTTTGTAATTGTGAAATTATCTTAGCAATTCTTCAAAAATATTTCTGTATCCAATTTTCCTGAGATGTTATTAAGATTTTTGAATCTGTGTTCATAAATAAGAAACTCCTAGGTTTTGTGATATTTTTTTGCTTTAATTTTTTTTTTTTTTTTGCTTTAATTTTTAAAAATGAAAGTCACAGTGGCACCTGGCTGCCTCACTCTTGGCAGAGGCATGTGATTCTTGATCTCAGGGTTGTAAGTTGGAACCCGAAAATGGGTGTAGAGATTACTTAAAAATAAAATCTTTAAAAATAAATAAACATAAACATGAAAGTCACATTTACTTCAGCAAGTGAACTGAGTATCTTACTATCATTTTCTATACTTTGGCAGCATATAGAAATTCTCTGATAGTTTGGACAAGTCTCCGAAAGCCATCACAAGCAAACTACTTTAAAAAATTTTTTAAGTAAGCTCTAGTCCCAATGTGGGGCTCAACTTCATAACCCCAAGATCAAGAGTCACATGCTCGCCCCTGGGCATATTCTCTTTTAAATGTCAGTTTTGTAATATTATAGCTTTAGAAGGAGCCAGACATTTTGATACTAGTAATCAAATTTTAGCATCAAGCAGATAGATCATGCTTTTAAAATCTAATTGATGTACTTTATGTAACCCCATCCAATAATAAATTTACTAATTTGTACTTTCATGATTGAGCTGATACTTTACCAATTTAATTTTTCTTAAGATTTTATTTTCAAGTGATCTTCACACCCAATGTAGGGCTCAAACTGACAACCCCAAGCTCAAGAGTTACGTGCTCCAGTGACTGAGCCAGTCAGGTGCCCCGATACTTTACCAATTTAATCTATAAGCACCAATTAATGATATCATATTTTTTTAAATTTTTATCATTCATGCTTGGTTTTCTTATTCTGATTTCCTAAGTTCTAACCACAAACCCCCTTAAAAAATTTTCCACCCTTATCTCTAAAAGACATTTAATGCATGATTTTCTTTCTTTATAGCACTGCTTAGGTATATCACATAAATTTTCTTGCAGAGAATTTGACTTTTCACTACTTTAAAAATATTATCCTCCAACATATTCTCTATACCCCAGATTTTATTTTTTTTAATTTTTTAATGTTTTATTTATATTTGAGACAGAGAGAGACAGAGCATGAGAGGGGAAGGAGCAGAGAAACAGGGAGATACAGAATCCAAAGCAGGCTCCAGGCTGTGAGCTGTCAACACAGAGCCCGATGCAGGGATCAAACCCACGAATGTGAGATCATGACCTGAGCTGAAGTCGGAGGCTTAACCTACTGAGCCACCCGGGTGCTCCTATACCCCAGATTTTAAAGAAGGATTTTAGTTTCCATGTTTGATCACCACTTAATTCTACATAACCCATTTATTTCACCAAGAGACATACTATCAAATTATATATACATTTCTGACTGTACATTTCTGGCTATTTCTCTTTCATGTATCTTGGCGTTATGTTATTTAAAATGAGTAAATCAGGGGGTGCCTGGGTGGCTCAGTCAGTTAAGTGTCCAACTTCAGATCAGATCATGATCTTATGGTTCGTGAGTTTAAGCCCTGCACTGTGCTATGCGCTAACAGCGTGGAGCCTAGAGCCTGCTTCAGATTCTGTCTCTCTCTCTCTGTCTTTCCACTGTTTATACTCTCTTTCTCAAAAGAAAAAAAAAAAAAAAGACTAAATTCAGTACTACTAGTTTTTAATATTTACCATTTGTATTACCAATATTTATATTTACCATTAAAATTTTGATTGTGAAATTTGTTTTATCAGGTATAACGTAAGCAATCACTGCTTCTTTAATATTTGTTCCAGCATGATGAGGAAAACTTAGGCCACATCTTTATTTATTTTAATTTTTAATTTAAAAAAATTTTCATGTTAAGTATTTCTTTGCATCTTGTATAACAGGATTGATGATCCTTTAAAAAAAAAAAATCAGTCCTGGGATTTTCTAAGCAGATAATCCTACCATATGATAATAATTTTATCTCTTTATTGCTAATAGCTATACTTATTTCTAATTTCTGCACTAGATATGGCCTCCAGCAAAATGTTGAGTAGAAACAGTGTTGGTAACATCCTCTGATTATGCTTCAAAGGTTTTACTCTTTTTTTCAAAATGTTTATTTATTTTTGAGAAAGAGAGAGAGAAAAGGGGTGGGACAGAGAGAGAGGGAGACAGATAATTCTGAGCAGGCTCCACATGTTGGCTCCATACCATGAATCATGAGATGATGACCTGAGCCAAAATCAAGAGTTAGATGCTCAACCAACTGAGCTACCCAGGTGCCCCTCAAATGTTTTATTCTTAACATGACATTTGCTATAATTTGTGACCCTTCTTTTTGAAGGTGAACTAAGCCCATTTACATTTAATAACTGTAATGAGTGTTTACAGAATGAATAGCATAACTGAATTCCTTCATACCTAGTTTGTTTGTTTTTTTTTACCTTAAGTTAATGTGTATAGGTATGAGGGATAAATACAATCTAATGTGATTAGTTGACTCAATGATATACAGTATGAATTAAATTGGACTCTTAATTGCTTTTTTTCCTTTGAGTGAAGATACCATTTTCCTAAGTCAGCTTTCTCCCAATTCCTTAGTGAAGAACTAACTAGAACATGATAGCATCCCATTTAAAATTCAAACAAAGCAAAAACAGTTAAAGGCAATGCCTTTTAGTAAGGTGAATTAAATAAACATGGGTAAGTATCTGAAAACATAAGGTTTTCACCATGGCACAACCCTACCCTGAAATCATTCCCAGTAATTCAACTGTCTTTGCATTTGGCAGTAATGTTTACAAGTGAATTTGCTGATGGCTAGCACAATTTAAAAATGAACCCAAGGCCGATTAATCAAAAATAACAACAAAGAAACTAGGAATGAAGGTCAAAGAAGAGACTACAGCTGGCCAGATATGATATCACTTGCCTCATTTTCATTCAGGAATTTGCTACAATGAATAAAATAAGTATCTCCTCTGAGGGGGAAGGGAAGGGAGGTGAAGGGGAAGGGGAAGGGAAGGGGAGGGAAAGAACAGGTTATTACCTATTACCATTCTGTGATACATATACTTTCTGAATGTTATGATTAAAATAAAAAGTCTTTTAAAAAGAATATTAATCAGTCCTATGGTTTCACAATTGAAGCCCTAATTCTGAATTTAAAACATTACTCAGTATTTGCTGAAGGATCATATTTAGATGATACGGCTTTTGACATATAAAAATTCTATGGGAAAAACTAAGACCTCTTTTAATTCTGCTTTAACATAAAACTAAACAGGGCAATTAAAAAATTCAATAAGAGTATGAGTTACTCTGCTTTAAGAAGTACTTCCAAATTTCAACCACCTAGCTTCTTTTCGGAGAAACTGTACACCATCACAAAACTGTTCTAACTTAACTTTTGGAGAAGAAAATGGAAAACCAAACCCATAGCACAGTGGTTAAGTAAAAGATTTCCTTCTTAGTGTCAGGCAAAGAAGTGCTTTTGCCCCCTTACAAGCTGCACTATTTCAGCAGATGATTCAGCTGGTCCTGCAGATCAGAAGACTGCTCAACACTAGAAATCAGAAAAGAGAAAAAGGTTTATCTGGAATGAGCAATAAAGACCTCTCTTTGTACAGTCTGTACTTTAATGTAGAAGTACTGCTAAAGCTAAATCAAAATTTATATTGGTCCTCTAGGGTCCCAGAATTTTAAACTATCAAAAAAAGGTCTGTAAAGCAAATTAGAGTAACCAATATTGTAAGGGACAGATTTAATCCACTCAAAAAAACAAGACTGTTCAATGGCTTCAGCACATTTAATTTACTTAATGAATATTAACAATGCAGAAGGTTTTCTATTCTTTTTCTTTTAATGTTTTATTTATTTCTGAGAGAGAGAGAGACAGCATGAGCAGGGGAGGGTCAGAGAGAGAGGGAGATACAGAATCTGAAGCAGGCTCCAGGTTCTGAGCTGGCTGTCAGCACAGAGCCTGACGTGGGGCTCAAACCCACGAACCATGAGATCATGACCTGAGCCGAAGTCAGACGCTTAACCAATTGAGCCACCCAGGTGCCCCAGGTTTTCTATTCCTTAAGCATGGCTTCTACATATTGTAATTTTTAAAAAGACTTTACTAGCAGTGAACTGACTTACTGCACACCCTTGAAATGTACAGTTGACCCTTGAACAACATAGGGGGTGTATAGGTGCTGATACCCTGCACAGTCAAAATCTGTGTATAACCTGACTCCCCCCAAATTTAACTACTAATAGCCTATTATTAACCAGAAGCCTTATTGGTAACAGAAACAGTCAATTAACACATATTCTGTATATGTATTATATACTATACTTTCATAATAAAGTAAGCTAGAGAAAAAAAATGTTAAGACAATCATAAGGGGACGTGTAGGTGGCTAAGTTGGTTGAGCATCTGACTCTTGATTTTGGCTCAGGTCATGATCTCATGTTTTGTGAGTTCAAGTCCCGTGTCAGGCTCTGAGCTGATGGTGTGGAGCCTGCTTGGGATTCTCTCTTTCTTCTCTCTCTCTGCCCGTCCCTCTCTCTCTCTCTCTCTCTCTCTCTCAAGAATAAGGGAAGGAAGGAAGGAAGGAAAGAAGGGAGGGAGGGAGGAAAAAGAAAAGAAAGACAGGGTGCCTGGGTGGTTCAGTTGGTTAAGAGTCTGACTCTTAGTTTCAGCTCAGATCATGATCTCATAGTCATGAGATCAAGCCCTGAGTCAGGCTCTGTGCTCATGTGGAGCCTGCTTAAGATTTTCTCCCTCCCTCTCCCTCTGCCCCTCCCCCTGCTTGCATACTTGCTCTCTGTCTCTCACACAAAATAATAATATTTTAAAAAAGAGAAAATCATAAGGAAGAGAAAATACATTTACAATACTGTATGGTATTTATCAAAAAATCTGTGTGTAAGTGGAACTGTGTATGTAGTTCAAACCTATATCATTCAAGGATCAACTGTACTGTCTTCTTTATATCCTGAATGAGCTACCCCAGAGCATATGTCAATTTAAGGGCATATGTCAACCAGAGTTTGACACTGATCCTCAGCCCAGAAGTAGAATTCCCTGCAGCCTGCTTCAGTTGCCACCACCCCCCCAACTCCCCTACCTTTGGGGTTACTTACTTCTTCTGAATAGCTTCTTGCCTAAATCAGAAAAGGAAAAAAGAAAATAAATATTAAAAATCTCAGAAGACTAGTGCAACTTATGGCTAGATATATGTAGGCAGAAAAAATCTCTGGCTTCTGTCACACTCTGTATTTCTGTCCCTTCTAGCCTAAGACTGTTCTTGAAGCTCTGTTCACTATCTGAGCGCAGAATTGCTAAAACGAAGGATTCTAAGCCTAAAGAGGTGATGCCACACTATCAGATCGAGGGAGGTGGTGCAAAAACTATACATACGCGTGGCTCACATTCAGTCCGGGTATGGGCAGTCTAGTGGTCACACACATCATATGCACACACCCAAAGAATGAACACTTAGCTGTTTAAATATCAAGAGTTAAACTCTTAATCATACAGTAGGCACATAAGTATAATATCAACTATATAAAATATAAAGCAAAATGAAATACAATGAAAAGCTAACTATAATTTTATCCAAACTTGTAACAGAGAAGGGGTTCTCTATATTTCAAAATCTCCTGTATCATTCATATGCAGCTAGGGCTGGGCTGTACGTGAGACTTTGGGATACAGGTCTGAGTTACACTTGACTCCCTAGTGAAAGAGCAGACTCCCCAGGAGAGACCTTGGGCATAGGTGGTCAACAAATACTGATTAAGCGTCTACTGGGTGCCAGGCACTGTGCTCACGTGGTCCTGGTACAGGCCCTGCCCTCATGGGGTTTACAGTCTCTCCCTCTGAGGAGCCCTCAAATTGACACTGAGAGGCTCACAAAAGGTAGTTCTGGCTCTTGATCTCACCCCACACCCCAACTTCTTCTGCAGTCTCAACCATCTTTTCCAAAAGGAGCTCATGTTTGACTAACCCTACTTTTACTCGCAACTCCTGCCTTCACAGGAAAATGTGTTGAAGAACAAAGGCCACAACAGGGGGCAGCCTGAGGATAATGATTTTGTAGCAAGTAGTCATTGGAAAGGGCATACTCACTGGTACTGGAGATGTGTGGTTATTATTGCCATTTTCCTTAAACTCTGCATTAAGAAACAACACACACAGAAAGAGAAATCGATACATTCCACTTCCCTGTAGCCACACAAATTATGTATAGAAACCCCAAATCATAAAAGGAAGTGTTTCTTACATCTTCTGAGTGCAAGATGGCGTCTTCCTGTAGTACCATGTTGCGAGCTGCCTGACCTAGCAGCTGGAAGACAAAAATAAAGTGGTAATCAAAACCTCCAGACTTCTGTCACCTTCTCTCTGCAGCTGTTAAACCGCCACCCTCTCTTCTCCCCTTCCCTCACCCAGTTACAAAAACTCCCACATGTAACGGAGGATAATTTTCCATTTGTTTATGTTGAAAGTCCAAAGTCACTGTCACTACGGCAGTTCTGGCATGGGTTCCACCTCCAATCCACCTCTGAGAGATCAAGGGCTCCATAACTGCAGAGCTCCTTGAGTGACTTCTTCGCCCAAGAGCTGAAAGAAGCCTGCAAAGAAAACTTTGGCTCCACAGGCCCAGTGAGAATTTAACCTTTTGGTTTCTTTCTTTTTTTTTTTTTTTTAAATGTTTTATTTATTTCTAGGAGATAGAGAGAGAGACAGTGTGAGCAGGGGAGGGTCAGAGAGAGAGGGAGTCACAGACTGAAACAGGCTCCAGGCTCTGAGCTGGCAGTCAGCACACAGCCCGATGCGGGGCTCGAACCCACGAACCGCGAGATCAAGACCTAAGCGAAAGTCGGACGCTCAACCGACTAAGCCACCCAGGCGCCCCTAACCTTTTGGTTTCTTAAAGACAGATCTGAGGCTTGGAGTAGAGTGAGGGGGCAGGAACTAGCATAGGGCTAAAAAGGCTAGTAGGAATATAGCCGTTTAGAAATGGAGTGAGAGGGGCGCCTGGGTGGCTTAGTCGGTTAAGCGTCTGACTTTCGCTTAGGTCATGATCTCGCAGTTTGTGGGTTCAAGCTCCGCGTCAGGCTCTGTGCTGACTGCCAGCTCAGAGCCTGGAGCCTGTTTCAGAGTCTGTGTCTCCCTCTCTCTCTGACCCTCCCCTGCTCACGCTGTCTCTCTCTCTCTCTCCTAGAAATAAATAAAAAATATTTAAAAAAAAAAAAAAAGAAAGAAATGGAGTGAGAGACACAAGCAAAAAAGGCCTGCAAGCAGCTCGGGGTTGAAACAGGAAAGCATCACATGAAGGACGGCTGATGGGGGGGCAAGGGGGGGGGGCAGAGACCAGGAACTATTCTTACAGTGCGCACAGCTTCAAGTATAGTTGCAAACAGTTGCAGAGCATTGTGCTGTAAACTTGAAACTAATGTAACATTGTATGTCAACTATATTTCAATTAAAAGAAAGAGAGAGAGAAAGAAAAAGAAAGGAAAGAAAGGAAGGGAAGAAAGGAAGGAAGGAAGAAGAAATGCAGATGCAGATTTTGAGGAGTCCCTGTAGCTGACAGCTGAGTCCTGACAGCACAAAAGCTGAGCTCCGATTTGGGTGGGCGGCCTGTGGCCACTGAGAGGGGACTCAGTGGGTACTGAGAGCCAAGCGGAGGTGGACAGTGGTTTCTGGTCTACTGTCCCACCCTGCTCCTGGCAGACATTAACTCCAATCAGGTAAGAAGAGCTACTACCATGTGTCCTACCCACTGTCACTGCTCCCTTGGGTCAGTGAGAGTCTGGTGAAAAGGGGATCAATAGCCTCAAAATGACCAGGAACAACAGCACTGTTACAGCCCCCAGATAACTTCCCCCATGGCAACTGTTACTTGTTTTTTTATTTTTAAGTTTTAAAATTAATAAACCTTTATGTGCCTCTAAAGTCAAAACAGTAAAATAAGACCTTCCATCCCTGTCCCTTCCCCTCTCCATTTTCTCTCCCCTACGCGTAAATTTTTTTTTTTAGGGACACCTGGCTGGCTCAGTTGGTAGAGCATGTGACTCTTGATCTCAGGGTCGTGAGTTCAAGTCCCATGTTGGGCATGGAGCCTCCTCAATTTTTAAAAGATGTATACACGTGTGTGTGTGTGTGTGTGTGTGTGTGTGCGCGCGCGCGCGCGCGCATGTGTGTGTATTTTAGTTTTGGGTTTATCTTTCCATGATTTCTTTGTAAAAGTGGACATATGTATATAATCTCCCCTCCTTACTTAGAATGTAACCAACTACATGCACTCTTCTACGCCCTGCTATTTTCACTTGAAAATACAGGCTGAGATACACATGCAGCAAAATATATACCGAACCTGCACACTGCTCTTTTATGGCTACAGAGCACTCCACTCTACAGATGTCCCTGTAAGTGGGGCGCCTGGTTGGCTCAGTCAGTTGAGCATCTAACTTTTGATTTCAGCTCAGGTCATGATCTCAGCGGCATGGAGTCAAGTCCAGTGTCAGACTCTACACTGAGCATGAAGCCTACTTGAGATTCTCTCTTTCCCCGTGCCCCTCTCCACCGCTCATGTGCTCTCTCTCTAAAATGTCAGTGAGTGAGTGAGTGAGTGAGTGAATGAGTGAGTGAGTGAATAAATAAATAAATAAATAAATGTCACCACAGGATTATTCAACCAGCTATCTGGGGTGGACTTTGGGACTATTTCCAGTCTTTGCTATTATAAGCAGTGTTACAAAAAACACCTTAGATATCTTTGTGTCTTTTTGCTAGAGTATCTTTGGGATAGACTCATAGAATCATGGCTGTGATTGCTGGATTGGAGGGTTTTAGTTTTGCTACATACTGCCAAATCCCCCTCCATTAGGGTTATATCATTTTGCATCCCCATCCACAGCGTATCAGAGTGCCTGTTCCGTCCATGACCACTTTTAAGTGGCAAACTCCCAGAGTCCTACAGATGGGAGATGGTGACTGACAAAGTGATGGCAGAAAGACAAGGTTCTAACACAATCTTCCTCATTCATTTACTCAGTCAGTGCATGTTTACTAAGTGCTCAGCTACGTCAGGAAGAGACAGAGCCCCTGTCCTCACAGAGCTCACAATCTGGTGTTACAAAGAGGACACAGGCACTACAATGCCTTGTGGTAACTGCGGATAGGGAAACACCAGATAACCTGGGAGCATGTGGGGGGGTCCTGACCCATTACAGGCCAGAAGTTCAGGGAGAGCTTCCTAAAGGAAGTGACTTCTAAGCTGAGACCTAAAGGTCCAGCATGATCAGATTTACTCTTTTTGAACTGCTGCAAGCAGAATGGACTGAAGTGAAGACTGAAGGCAGAGAGACTGGCTAGACACAGTCTAGGCAAGCAAGGAAAGTGGTCTGAGCCACGGAAGTGGCAGTTAAAGGGGGAGGAGGGTGATCATTTAGGAGATCGGCTCAAGGAGACTCGGGATTTCTGGAATGTGGGAGCTGTTGCAATGCAGGGCCAAGGCCCCTTCTTTGATCACAGATGCATTCATTGGCATTCTGCATCCTTTTCTTGCATAAACCGACCACGCACTTAACCCATCATAAAACATCATCTAAGATGTCCGGTTTGGGCTTTTTTTTTTTTTTTTTTTTTATTTTTTTAATATTTTTTTTTTTTTTTTTTTTTTTTTTTTTTTTTTTATGTTTTTTCAATGTTTTTTTTTTTCTTTTGTTTTGTTTTCTGAGAGAGAGAGACAGCATGAGCAGGGTAGGGTCAGAGAGAGAGGGAGACACAGAATCCAAAGCAGGCTCCAGGCTCTGAGCTAGCTGTCAGCACAGAGCCCAACGCAGGGCTCAAACCCACAAACCGTGAAATCATGACCTGAGCCTAAGTCAGACGCTTAACAGACTGGGCCACCGAGGCGCCCCCGGTTTGGGTGTCTTTAAAATGGAACAATGTCTTCAGTATTTCCCCCTGGGCTTTTACCATTGCTTTGCTCATAAGTAACTCAACAGCAATCTCAGCTATTCGTCTTCAACAAGTATGATTACTAAGTTGTTATTTGTTAGCTCCTCATCTTCAACAAGATTTTTCAGCTTAGTTTTCATAGTAATACCATCCCTCTTTTTCTTTTCATTCTAGTTAATTATTTTCCATATTACTGCATTAAATAATGTAGTTCCAACAGTAAGCATAAATGCCTTACACGGCTTTAGGATAAAATACAATGGACCCTTTACTCAGCACACAACTCGACTGAAGGAGACGTGCAGGCGCACACAGGAGGAGCGTAGGAGTCACATGCTGAGGGCACAGGCTGCCACGTTCTTCCCCACTTGGTGCTCCAGCCACGCTGGAATCCTTGCACACCCTGCACACATTCCCATCTCAAGGCCTTTGCATTTGCCACTTACTCTGCTTGGAACACTCTGCCTCCAGCCGTCCACATGGCTTGCTCCCTCGCTTCATTGAAGTGTCTGCTCAAATGTCCCCTCCTTCAAGAGCCCTTCTCTGATCACCCTATTTAAGGAAAACCCTTTCATCACTCTCTACTCCCAGCTTAGTTTTTCTTCATAATATTTACTGCCACCTGATTTTTTGGTTCACTTGTTTATCTGTCTCTTCACTAAAATGTAAGCTTCATAAGTATGAGGTCTGTTAGTTTTTGTGTACCATTCTCTCCCTTATGCCTAGAAGAGTTCTTGGCACATAGCAGACAATAAATATTTATTACATGAATGCTGCAGAAGGAGAGCTTTACACATGGAAATTGTCAGCAAATCAAACAAAACAGGTACATGGAGACTGTTGAAAAGAGAAGCAGTGCCCTATGGGCTAAGAAGGATTGAAACTGAAAATCAGGCTCCATGTCCATAATGAGACTAAGAGCTTCATTTCCCTCAGGACTGACCCCAAGGAGATGCCCTGTGGCTTTGAGATAATTTGGGCTACATCAATATCAAATCAAAATGCTGGAGAAGAAAGTCTAAGGAACAGAAAGAAGGAATACCCTCCTGAAGAAGACAATTGCCACTAGACCCCAAAAAATCAGAAGCAGAAGGTGCTGTGTGAAAATAAACTGTAAACATTTAAGGCAATGTTTCTCTAGGAGATTCAGTTCACTGAGCTCAGGACATTATCAAGAAAATGAGAAGAAAACTCACAGAATGTGAGAAAACATATGCAAATAATATCTGATAAAGCATTAACATTCAGAATACATGAGAACTCCTAAAACTCAACAACAAAAAATCCAATCTGGAAATGGACAATGGACCTTCATAGACATTTCTTCAAAGAAGATATACAAATGGCCAATAAGAACAAGAACCACGCTCAACATCA